ATTTACTGTCTAATTTAAACATGGGCTGTGTTCCACATTTACTGTTTTATTTAAACATGAACTGTGTTCCACCTTTATCTCGGTTTGGCAGCAGCTGCAGGAATGTACTGTTCCCGAGTGGTGCTGCAATCCGCACATTCGATACACACCATACCCAGTATGTTGAAAGGCAAAAAAATAAAATTTAAAAGTCCACGGAATTGTGGGTGGCCTGTCCAGCTGTCTGAGTATGTTTCGGCTTTGTGGGGGGCGTGTGTGTTTTTTTATTTTGTTGTGGTGAGGGTGTGTTGTGGTGAATGTGCGGGTTGGGGTGGAGGCTGCCTGCCCTGGCTGACGGCCGCCATTTTGTGGCGGTGCGGAGGGAGAAGGAGACGCACACACACACACACACAGGGAGAGTAACCATGGCCCAGGCTCGGGCCTACACCTTCCCCAACCACCGCAAGAAGCAGCAGCAGCAGAAGAAGAAGAAAGAGGACGAGAAGAAGAAGGTGGTGGAGCTGCTGGTTTTCGGTTACGCCTGTAAACTGTTCCGGGAGGACGATAAGGCCCAGTACCACGAGCAAGGCAAGCACCTCATCCCCTGGATGGGAGACCCGGCCCTCCTCATCGATAGGTCGGTTAACCCACTCACACTCACTCTCTCTACCAGCCTGCCTGCCCTCTAACCACCTTCCTCCTCCCTGACGGGGTGGGGAGAGGGGGTGATTTTTTAAAAGAAAACACTTCTCTCTGATTCTAAATTAAACTACTGCGAATGCTGGAAATCTGGAAGAAGCACACATTGTTGGAGCGACTCAGCAGGTTCTGCAACATCAATGGAGAGAGAGAGAAAAACATCTATCGTTTTGAATCAGATGACCCTTGTAAATATCTGGACTCGAGGTTAACTCTTGTTTCTCTCTCTCTCTCTCTCTATAGATGCAGCCAGGCCTGCCGAGTTCCTCCAGCACTTTATGCTTTTTGTTTCTGAGCTACATAAAGTCATGAAAACAGAAATTGCTGGAAGAGCTCAGCAGGTCTGGCAGCATCTGTGGAGAGAAAGCAGAGTTAGTGTTTTGAATCTGATGACCCTTCGTCAGATCTGGACTCTGGTCGCTGGACTTGAAACTTTAGCTCTATTTTTCTGACTGTGCAGATGCTGCCAGACCTGAGTTTCTCCAGTAATTTCTGCTCTTGTTTCTGAACTCTGTCAAGTTGTGGAGACAGAAAAGGCTGGAGAAACTTGGCACCTCTGACGGTGCTGACGTCTCGAGTCCAATAGGTTGGCCAAGGACTGAATCCACTGACCCTTCAGAACAGTCGTGTCACTGAAGGACAGCCCTGAGACACTAACTCTTGGTTCTGTCTCTACAGATAACACCAGACCTGCCAAGTTTCTCCAGTGCTTTCTGTTTTCAGATCTCCAGCACACGTAGTGTTTTGCTTTTATTTGAGCTTATTTCATGTCAGCCGTGACATTTCCTCTAATTAATTTTTCCACCGTGTGGATCTCTGAGGTCTGCTCAGCACGCCAGTCAGCATGGATAGAACAGCAGCATGGCTCAATTTGAACATTGGTCAGCCAGATCATTATGAGCATATCATCAACTTAAAATACATCACTTTTTTCTTAGGGAGGGTGAGTAGGGTGTTTTATTTGTGGCCAAGTGGTCACACTCCCATTGAGTTGGTAGTTTGGGTTAGTGTGTCACTCCCATATATTGGAAACAAACAAAGCTGACGGTCCCAGTGTAGTACCGGGGTGGGTGGGGGAGCGGTTTTTTGATTGAGATGCTTAAAAAAAAGGCCCCATCTTCCCACTCAAGTGTATGTGGAAGATACCGTGGCCACTGTGTCAAAGCACAGGTGTTCCCAATGCCCTGCCCAATATTCATCCTTCAGTGAACATCTTCAAGAAAGATGCCTATGGGATCTTGGTGTTCAAAAATTGGTCACTACAGTTTTTAAAATTGCAACAAAAATGAGTTGAAAAGTACTTCATCGGCAATAAAAATGCTTTCGTATATCCTGTATATACAAGTGTAAGTCTTTACTTTTTAAATCTCTAGGATTTGGGGCCCGTTATCTGTTAGATGTAAGCTGCATGCAGTCTCTCTATTTTATTCTCCATAACCTTTCCTCGCTCCTTTTAGTTTTTCATATATTTATGTAAGTGGGCTGATTGGCCGGTCTCTGTACTGAATATCCTATGCAATTTCTGTTAATTTTTATATAAATATATAAATGTCTCTCTCTGTCACGTAATCCAGAGCTTCTTTCCCCAGTGAATTTGCCAGGTAGTAAAATGGCTAGGAAAAAAAACAGTCCTAGTCATGATTTTGCCACAAAGCGACGGGCCTCCAGTTGACGAAGAGCTTTCACTCTCCTCCACCTCCTCCTCCAGGAAAACGCAGAGCATGGTGAAGCGAGGACATTTACGGCCCATTTGGTTCTTGCTGATAGGTATTTATGTCCTCGGTTTGTGCGCCTGTTTAAAACTGCTTTTGCAGATGAAATGTTGTCAAGCAAGAGTGTCTTTGACAGATAGCAGTGCGAGTGATTGACTGAAACATGCACGGTAAGATTCTTTTTTAAAACAGTGTCAGTACTTGGCAAGCCGGGTGTTCGTTTATATTCTGTTGTCCGTTCAATATTGTGGTGAGGAACAGGATTAATTTTTCTGAATGTACTTTATACCATCTTTTAAAGACAGTCATTGTTTAAATTTAAATTATGTAATATAGTAAGATTTTTCATTTTCATATTTTTATATCATTTGTAATGTTATTGTGATTGTTTCTTTAAATATCACTTTCAGGTTGCCTAGTTTGGTAAGTATGTGATCTGCTCAGTAGAGTTGTTTTTAATTGTATTGACCAGTATCTTCATCTTGCAGGTATGATTGTCGGGGTCACTTACACGACCTCTCAGAATGTGATGCTGAGTACACTTGGAACAGAGATTATCAGCTATCGGAAGAGGAGGCGAGGATAGACGCTCTTTGCGATGAAGAGAGGTATTTAGCCTTGCATACGGACTTGCTTGAGGAGGAGGCAAGGCAAGGTACTATTTGCAAAACAACTTTACCTTTCAGCCAAATTCATGTGAATTTCTGCAAATAATTACAATCTCCTGTAATTTGACCATGCACTCATTTTTTTGATATTCCTTATTTGACAGTATCCTGGGGATTGGAAAAGGCATCCTTCCTTGTCAAAAAGGATCTCAGGAGTAGTTAAATTAGCCTGCGAAAGAGAATTGTTCGCAACTTAGGGCAGCATGGAAACTATGAATTCTGTTTTGTCTTTCTCTTCACTGGGAAAGCTCATTCTCTGCTGATTATGTTTTGAGACTTTTCCATAGTTCTTGTTTAAGTTAAAAATTGTATTTTAAATCTTATCCTTGATTTGTTCTGTACTGCTGCTATAAAAGTCAGATTTTAACTTCTTAGCTTTACGTACATTTTAAATTCACATTTGCTTCTTTAAGTCTAATGCATTTTTCCCTTCTCAAACCTCTGCCTTTTAAGAGGAAGAATATAGACGTCTGAACGAGGCTTTAGCCGAGGATGGCATGTATAATGCAGTTGGGTTTGCATATAACAGTGATTATTATGATCCATCGCAACCAACAGAAGAAGAGGAACTGGGTAAAACAGATGGTAAATATCAAATTGTTTTTCATTTTGTCAAGGTAATTAATGTTTTCTAGAGGCAGTGTATTCAGTTGGAAATAGAACTTTAGGCTAAATAGATCAAAGGATATGGGGATAAAACAGGACCAGGCTATTGAGTTGGATGATCTGTTGTGATCATAATGAATGGCGGTGCAGAGTTGAAGGGCCAAAGGGCCTACTCCTCCTATTTTCTATATTTCCAGAAAAATTGGTTGTGAAACCTTTCTAATCTGCAACTGTTTTTGAAGTGCTTTTTGCTGTTCATTTCAAATACAAATATAGATCTGATATTTGTCCATTTAAGATTTATTTGGCAAACTATTGTGGATATCTCAGTTTATCAATAATTGCAGCTGAGTACTAGTGTACCCATATGAGTGTTTTGAGTGTTGACTCTTGCTATACACTGCCTTTGATCTGTGATTTTGGTAAGTTGATTGTTTCCAAAGATTTTCTATAATAAATTTGCACTTCTGGTAACAAGAATGATTAAATTGCTGGTTTAGTCGATCAAAAATGGGTTGAAGTTTAATTGGTGAAGATAGAGGAAGTCAGTTGTTAAGGTGATATCCATGATGATCATGGAACGTCCTGGTGGCGAGTTTCCTGCCCGTCTGTCCTATGAAGTGTTTCTCGCAGTTGCTGCGTGGTATTTTGTATATCACATTCGTCCTGCTCATTGTGGGTATGGGGTCTTTCGTCTTTGAGAGTAACTGGTGAAGTGTAGCTGTTGGTTTAAAACAGATTATTCTCAAAGACGAAAGACCCCATACCCACAATGATCAGGACGAATGTGATATACAGAATACCATGCAGCAGCTGCAAGAAACCCTACTTGGATAGACAGGCAGGAAACTCGCCACCAGGATACATGAACACCAACTGGCAGCAAAACAGCATGACCAACTATCCCTTGTTTCAATACACTCCGACATAGCAGGGCATCAGTTTAACTGTGACAAGCAAAACAAAGACAAGCATGAGAATTCCTGGAGGGTTGGTTTTCAACCACCAGTGCGATAAACAAACATGTTGAAATAGACTCCATCTACATACCACAGCGGTGCAAAACTGGAAGCAAGACTACCCACCACGATGTACCGGACTATATAAATTCAGGGCGGGACAGAACAACAGCGCTTCAGCGGCTGATAGACAGCACTGAAGATGTCACCTAGAAGGGAGACTAAACGTTTGCACAGAAACCAGTCAGCTCGGCGAACCAACCACAAACCAAGCTACAGATCTTCATTAAAACATTAAATTGCAGATGAATAAATGGACATGTTCATTAACTGCCTCACAGACTATGGATTACAGCTGGTGTGGTAACTGTATGCTCCACATGCATAAAATAGTCAGGTCGAGAGAGATTTTCGAACCTTAACTGAATTAAATTCAGGTATTCAGTGAGAGATGATTTTTGCTTGAGTGCACACTGTATCACATTTAATATATAACTTTTTTATGTAGTTTACTTTGAGCATCCTCACAATCTGTTCCAATTACTTCTCATCCCCCTCTACTAACAACGTAAAAACCATCCTTTTCTAGATCCTTTCAGCTAGAAGACTCCTGTACTGAATTCGAAATGTTAATCTTTTTCGTTCTCTACAGATGGTGCCATACAAGCTGTGTTTCTCCATTACTTTCTGATTTTATTTCAGATTTTCAGCATTTGTAATATTTTGCTTTTATATACTATATCATCATATAATTGTATGTTACTTTGCATTAATAATGTTCTCTTTTTGTCTTTTGCATCGTAGTTGAGAGCGATGATAATGCTGAAGAGAATGAGGAACCATACACTGCTCCTCCTGGGCTACTTGTCCCCTCTGACGTAGAAGTTGTAAGTATCTTGTATTCCTTGCGATTGTTTCCTTAAGAATGTACTTTGTTGGAGTGAGAAAGTGAAATTCATTATCACAAGAAACGTTATATTTGCAGATTCCAGATCAAAGAAACCACATTGTCATCGACTGAATTGGATTTTGAGATTGTTGCATTTATTGGTGTATCTTGTCTGAAGTTTTTGTATCGTTCAGGGGAAACTGAGTTCTATTGGAAATATGTTTTACTTCATAGTTCAGCCAGTCTTTCTGAACTGTATTCTTGAGTTTTACAGAAAATCTCAATGTTAATTGACAGTCACACAGTAACTGCAGATAAGTGGATTCAATAATAGACGAGTTTCCCAGTTTAAAAAAAAGTTCCCAGTGGAACAGTATGTTCTGAAATATTGTTTTGTGGTCTGCAGCATAGTTCTGATAATGGGAAAACAGGGACTGCATTGTGGATTTCACCATTATTCAAGTAAGTCATAGCATCTAGATAAAGTCCTTTGCGTTCACTTCTTGGTCAGTGTTGCTAAATTGATAGACATAAGAGCCACTCAAGAATTTTTGTTTGTCCAATGCATTTTATAGCTAGATATTTCATATGATCAATTCAAAACATGTGATTTAGTCTTGAAAGTTGACGTGATGCCTCACTTGGCATAATTTCCTAATAAAGATATTGATCAAACAGGCTTCGGATTGCCAAGTCTAAGTTCTCATTGAAGAAACTTGGATATAGCATGAACTGTAATTCATTGTGGCTTTAAAGCATGAAGATAAGGAAGATCAGCCGTGATGTTAGGAATCATGGAACAAGTTGGAAGGACTGAATTGCCTCCATGTTTGTATGTATAGGCTAACCACCCTATCAAAATAGGTATTTATTGGCAGATAATTTACTTAAAGTTGTTGGATTGTGTTGCATACTTTTTCCGGGGTAGAAATTTCCAGGTCTGCTGCTTCTAATAGCTTACGTTTATGATCATCCTTTCTTTTCCATGTTAGAAACCTTATTATTTCTAATACGAAATAGAAATCAACCTGTTTAGATGGGTTATGTATAACACAGTCCGAGGCAGGTGTGACTTGAGCCCAGACCTTCTCGCTCAGCGTAGGGTCACTAGCACTGCGCCATAAGACCTGTCCTGATTGCTGGGATGTAATGAGTTATATGATCAGTTTCATCATCATGCAACTCATTATCATCCGAGATGGTTCATTATCCTCTGTACTGTTAAGGCATTTGAAAATGTGGTACGTCTCTGATGTTGAGATTTCTGTTCTTCAGGCATGTTGCACTTTATTGGAAACTGGTTTTGACTGAAAGGTAAAATCTGATTTGACCTGAATGTATAGAATTAGCATCACTTTTAATTATTCAGTAGCTGGTGTTGTGAAAATTTTCTTAAAAAAGGCACATTTTAAGATAACTCTTCCGTTTGATGTTTTGAAATTAGCTAGAGTTTATTCCCTGTTCTTAGAATTGGCATACGTAGTGGTTAAGCTGATGAAAAGTATAAATGTTGATTTTTTTTTTCATAAGTGATTGTCAATGTTACGTTTTATGCAGCACATATGTTTAAAGTGATCAGTCAATGGAATTAAAATGTCAACTTTCTGGGATATGGGCCAGATGCTGGCAAATGGGACTAGATTAATTTAGGATATCTGGTCAACATAGATGAGTTGGGCCAAAGGGTCTGTTTCTATGCTGTATGACTCTATAATTTGAAAACCACGTTCAATTTGACTGAAGTTACCAGTTTAACACCAGGCAAGCTTTCTAAATTTAAAATTTTACAAGTTCAGTAGTTATTTGCAGGACATTGTTCAAGATCTGTCTCACATTTCAGTAAGTACATTGAAACGTTGGAGGGAATGAGATCTTGGAGAGTTTTTTGTTTAGAATTTACAACACAGGAATAGGCCATTTGACCCAGCAGTCTATGTTGGTCTTTGCAAAGGACATATTCCAGTCTGTATAAGTTTCTTGTTTTGTTCTGTGTGCCCTGGTTTCCCAATGTAGATGATTGTTGGTACTTGGCATGCTTTGCCATAGGGTGGTTGAGGCACTTGGGAAAAAAAATTGGTATTTTTGGGCATAATGGATTAATATACTTTTATTGCTGTTGTAGTGCTAGTCATCCCAAACTGTTACAGCCTTTGTAACGGTGGTCATTGGTACAAAATGCTATAAAATTGATCTAGGGATGCTACTAAGCCTAAAATGGGATGACGTGTGATGTGGCAGTCAACGTGTGGTTGTAGTACCATCTGTCTTTTTTAACTGCCTTATAGATGTAGCAGTTAAGCTGCTCGTTGATGGTGATTTGCTAGATGTTGTTAAGTTTTTTGTTTGGTGCTGCTGAAGGACAATGAAAGTGATAAATTTTCCCTCCTTTTGGTTGGTTATTACTTGGCGCTTGGACACTATCAGGCATTGGCAACCTCATTGTTGAAGCAGTTGTGTTCAGATAACAGTTTCATAATTGGGCTTGTGCCAACAGCTCACAAACTGTAGTTGAAATGATAAAATGTAGAGCAGAATGGTCCTTGTGTGAGGGGACATGCAAATTTAAGTTTTTTTTCAAAAAAAAACACCTCATTTCTAACCTTGTGACTGACTGACTGACAGGCCAGTGATGAAGTGACTGAGGATTCCTCTCTGAGGAATTCCTGCAGTGATTCTTTTGACCTGTGATGTCCATTTTCTGACAATCACAAGCATTTTCCCTTGTACAACACCCCTTGTACAACACCAGCTACTGGAGCTCTTCCTCTTTGAAAATGGGCTTTCATTTTGCTTAAGGCATCTTGGTAGCACACCATTAAATATCAGTCTGGTCTGCTCTTACCTGTTCCTTGGTACCTCTTCCTCAAGTCTAGTGTCTATGTTTATGCCTTTTAAGGGCAAGATAGATAACAAGTGGAAATGAAGATATATAGTTATTGGAGAAGACTGAGACAGTGGAATTAATTTTCAATTCTTCTAGCAAAGAGCTGGCACAGACAAGGTGGACTGAATAACTCCCTGCTAGTCTGGACGGAGCAGTCAGAGGGCAGAGCAGCAGCAGCACAGAGTGGGTATAAAACTAACTGAGCTTGGGGCACGTTGTAGCTGTGAACAAAACTGGAGTGAAGTCGCAGGGAGCCTGTGACCTGATTAGCTGGTAGGAAATCTACACTAAATTTGAAAAAGAACACAGCAAAAAAGTATTAGTAAATTAATTAACTCTTAAATTTATATAACTTAATGTAATTAACTAAGTAGAGATGGTTGGGCAGGTAATGTGCTATAGCTGTACGATGTGAGACCTTCCAGTTCCCATTGCGAGTTGCAGTAACCACGTCTGTAGCAAGTGTTGGTTGCTCGAGGAATTTCGACTTGGAGTTGGTGAGCTGGAATCAGGGCTTCAAACACTGCGGCACATCCAGAATTGGGAGAAGTACCTGGACGTTTTGTTTCAGGAGGCAGTCATACCTGGTAGATTAAGTAGTTCAAATTCAGTCAGTGATCAGGGACAACAGGGTATGATTGCAAGTGAGGCAGGTAGGGGGAATCCTGAATTCCCAGGAACGGAGGACCTTCAGCTCTTGACCTTGTCCAACAGGTATGAGGTACTTGCTACCTGTGAGGATGAGGAAAAGGGCTATAGGGATGATGGACCAACTGCCCACTGGACCTTGGAATAGGAGGCCATTCAAGAGGGGGGAGCAAAAAGACAAATGGTAGTTGTAGGGGACTCTATATTTAAGGAGAATGATAGCATCCTTTGTAAGGAGGATTGGGAGTCCCGCATGGTGTGTTGCCTGCCCGGTGCCAGGGTGAGGGATATCTTTGACTGGCTTGAAAGGATATTGGAGCGGGAGGGGGAGGATCCAGTTGTTATGGTCCATGTTGGGACAAACAGCATAGGCAAGGCTAGGAAGGAGGATGTGTTTGGGGATTATCAAGCACTAGGAACGAAGTTAAGGAACAAATCCTCAAGGGTTATGATCTCTGGATTATTACTCGGAATATGGGAAGGCAGTGGCCTAGTAGTATTATTGCTGGACTGTCAATCCAGAGACCTAGATATGTTCTGGGGACCAGGGTTTGAATGGCGCCACGGCAGTGGTGGAATTTGAATTGAATAAGTATCTGGAGTTAACAATCTAATGATGACCATAAATTCATTATCAATTGTCAGAAAAATATCCATCTGGTTCAGTAATGTTCTTTAGGGAAGGAAACTGCTCTCCTTACCTGGTCTGGCCTACATGTGACTCCAGACCCAGGGCAATGTGGTTGATTCTGAACTGCCCTCTGGGTGATTAGGGATGGGCAATAAATGCTGCCTAGCCACCTCAATGGACCCCAGAGTTTAAAAACCAGGCGGGAAAACACATCGACGCTTCATCGGAGGCTGCACTGAGGATGTTACCCAGCATGGTAACGAAACGTCTGCAAAACAAGAAACCAGCTCGGCGAGCCAACCAACCTCAACACCCACAACCTGAGCTACAAATCTACTCCAAAACGTTAGAAGGCGAAAAACTAGACCTTCTTGTGCGCAATAAGGCAGGGCAGGTGACTGAAGTAAAAGTGGGGGAACACTTTGGGTCTAGCAATCATAATCTATTAGTTTCAGAATGGTTATGGAAAAGGATAAGCCTTGCATAAAAGTTAAAGTTTTTAATTGGAGTAAGGCAAATTTTAATGGTATGAGACAAGAACTTTCAAAAGTTGATTGGAGTAGACTATTCGCAGGTAAAAGGATGTCTGACAGTTGGGAGATGTTGAGGAATGTGATGACGAGAGTTCAGAGGCATTTTGTTCCTGTTAGAGTGAAGAGTAAGGCTGGTAAAATTAAGGAGCAATGGCTGAATAAAAATATTGAGGTTCTAGTCAAGCGTAAAAGAGAATTTTATTTAAATATAGACAAATTAGTTTAATTGAATCTCTTAAGTATGCCCTTACAATCTTTATATTGAATAAGAGAAAGCAGGAAGGCAAGGAGGGGATATGAGA